CCTGGTGTGAGGGCCCTGATACGCGCGTCCTCCCACGGAGGCCGGACTGACCGCGTCCGCACGCCCGCCTCGGGGCCTCAGCCGAAGCTGTGCAGTCGACTGCTGACAGCCAAAGTTGGGGGGGCTGGTGGAAGGGGCCCCAGGGACGGGGGGGTCGCAGCGCCCAGCGCCCAGCGCCCCTTGGCCTTGCACCCGCGACCTGCTGTGCTCACAGCCGCCACCAGGCCCCAGGCCGAGCTAATCAGCGCGACTTGCACCTATCGATCCTGGCCTGCGGCCAGGCGGGCGGGCAGGGCACAGCGCCAGGGTAAGGACGCCGCTTCCCGCTCCACCCCGGACACAGCTCAGAGGACCCAGTGGGGCTGGGGTATCACGGCCCCCAGGCGGAGGGGAAGAGGCAGCGCCTGGGCAAGAGAGCGGAGGGGCCCTCCCTCCCCAGCCCCACCTGCCTCCTTATAAAAGCGGAGAACAAAGAAGCCGCTGGGAAAGGAGGCTTTGATCCCACCCCACCTTCCAGGTTCTAGGCCGGGCATCACCCTGGGTGCCCGGGGGGTGGGGGCGACCCAGGCGCCCTGAAACGCAGCTGGTTCTTCTTGCTACCCCTGGCTTTTGCCTCAGCGCCCTGCTGGGTGCTGCCAGGCTTAGGCAGTGCCCAGGCGGGTGGGCTGTGGGGAACACCTGCCCTCAGCACAGGAAGCTGGGAGGCGGACAGGGTGCCAAGCCTGCCCAGAAGGGTGCCCACCGAGGCCTGGCATGGATGGCCCCGGGCACAGCTGGCACAGAGGTCAGGCCAAGCCAGACTGGGAGCACAGGCTACAGGCGTCCTGGTGTCTTGGAGACAGAGATGAGGGCAGTCAGCAGGTGGGAGGGCGACAGGGGAGGGAGGTTTATTGAAGGTTTGGACCAGACATTACACTTGATCTTAGCCAAAAGGCCGAGAAGCGATTGGACCAGACATTACAAAAATACAAACTGGTACGAAATTCAATCTCACGGCAAGTCCGTCTTCACAGAAGACAAGTGGGTTACTCCCCGGGCTGGCCGGTGCTGCCCCAGGGAAGAGGCCCCCAGCAAGGCTGCAGGGCTTCCCTGGCCCGAGCCAGCAGTCTAGCTACCCTGTCCAGCCTTGGTTCCAGGTGGTTAGGGGTCTGGTCTAGCTCCACCAAAGCCCAGTCGTCCGGGGCCAGGCCGACACCATCTACGCGGGGACAAGGCCCACGTCCTGCCTCTGCACGTGCCCAGGACGGCCTGCACCGCCCTCGTGGCTCCTCTTCGGCTGTGATGGAGGCAGCACTTGCTGGGTGGCCTCAGCCCCTCCGACTCATCAGGGCTCCATCCGGCCGGCCTGGTGGGGATCCCCGGGCAGGGAGCAGGCCCTGTCCTCCAGGGGTGCTGGAGGGTGTGCCTCGTTCACAGAATTCGCAGGAGACGCAGGATGGGAAGCAGCAGCAGCAACAGGAGACAGAGGGGGCTAGGAGCGTGCCCCCCTCGCCACCCGGAAGTGCCACTCTCACCAGGGCTTCCAACAGGGTGGGCTGACTCGGGCCCTGTGAGGGGAGGGGAGCACTGCTGGGTCCCCCTCTTCTTCAAGGGGCCCTCCCTCTCCTTCCCATTTAAGGTGCACCTGAGGCCCCTTCTCCAGGGCCTCCCAGATAAGCCACTGCCTTCCCTATCAACTACTTCATCCTTCCTCGCCGCAACTTCCAGGCTCCCCCAGACAAGGACTACCAGAGTCCCAACTTCAAGCTTCCTCCACTACAACACCCAGTCCAGCCCAGGCCTTGAAAGACTCTGCTCTCTGGGCCCAGCGTAAAATGGGGTGCGGGGGAAGCTCCCAGAAGACTAAGTGGGGGAGGAGAAGCCATAACCCAAAGGCCAAATCCCAGCTACCTCTGAGCCCGATGCTCTGATGTCTCCCTGCTCCTCCCTGTTCCCCAGGCCTCAGACTGGCCAGAGGGTGGCGGTGTCCCCGCCCACCCTCCCACTTACTGCTCTCCTTGCAGCAGACGGACACCTGGAGCCTCAAGCACTGACCGGAGCTCTCTGGGGTCGGCACAGCTGCGGGAAAGTGGGACGAAGTCAGCCAGGAGTCACCCCTTCCTATGCCCCGACAATCTGGGACCCTGCCCGCTTTCTCTCTATTCTTCAAGTGGCTTCCCTTACTTTGGGGCCACAGTCGGTAGCAGCCACACGGTGCCTCTGGCCACCCCAGCCCTCTTAGCTCCTTGCACCTCTAGCCATGCCAGGCCAGCCTGGGCTCCACAGCCTGCCTGCCCTCCTCCGCACGCCACTCCTTGCCTCCACAGAGGCACGCAGCACCCCCACCGCTCACAGATGTAGTAGTAGGTCTCTCCAGGCAGGAACTCGAAGCCCAGGGAGAACGGCGTGAAGCGCTGAATCTTCTCTGAGAATCGAACAGGGCCAAAGGGGGCGAAGGGCATGGAGCATTTCCAGCGCTGGAAGGCATTCGCCCCCTCTGCCCGGCAGGCCTTGTAGCCCGACCAGTCCACCATGTACAAAGCAAAGGTCTCGGGGCCCTCGGGGGGCCCTGGACTTTCATAGTGTGGGCAAAAGATGTCCAGGTAATCGTTGAGGCCCAGCTCCACCACGGTGTCTCCACGAAGCAGTCTGCGGGCACAAGGTGGCATCGGCTGAGGGGTCTACGGCTCAGCTCTGCAGAGCTCCTGCCCACTGTCCACTGGGAACGGGGGGCTGAGTCCCCACTGGCAGTGCCCAAGAGGCAGAGTTCACAGGCCCCTGGACACGCCAGGCCCAGGGAGAGCGAAGGGCTTGCTGGGGGAGAAGCCCCGGGCTTCCTGATGCCCCCGCCCTCCCTGGCCTGGCACAGCACCGTGCTGGGTAACTGTCAGGTGGGTGGGTGCACAGACAAGGGGCAGAGGACAGTGCAGACTGAGTGGGACCCTCAGTCCCACTGAGTGACCTGATGGGTGCATGGCGCTGGGGCTGCCGTGAACAGAGTGGGGACTGTATGCTTCCTCTGTCTCTTTTTTTTTTGTTTTGTTTTTTTGAGATAGGGTCTCACTATGTAGTTGAGACTGTGAGATTGACCTGGAACTCACTATGTAGCCTAGGCTGGTCTCGAAGTCACAGCGATCCTCCTGCCTCAGCCTCCCGAGTGCTGGGATTACAGGTGTGTGCCACCACGCCTGGCATTCTCTCTGTCTCTTTTTTTGCCAGTGTAAGGAAGTGCCAGGCATGGAGGGGACCCTGTTCCACATGCCCCAGCCTTTTTAGGACCCCTTCCTTACCGATGGGTGCTGCGTGTGCAGGCCAGGGGAGCCCTCCCACCACACTTGGAGGGCCTGGTAACCCCGCTTAGGAAGTAGAACTTGAGTCTGGCCATCCTGCCACTCTGACCCTGATTAGGAGAGGCCCAGGTGCCCGCAGTGGGTGGCCCAAGTCCAGCTGCCTCCAGAGTCCCCACAGGAGAGGAAGGTGCGGGGCTCAGGACACTCCTAGGACTCAGGCTGGGCCTTGGCAAGAGGCCTTGTCTGGAGCAGAAGCAGGAGCAGGAGCAGAGGCAGGGAAATGCAGAGGCTGAGCACAACAGCTCTTATCCCTCTTGGGCTAAAGACCCTCACTCCCCGCTCTAGGGTCTGGGCCTCTCACCCCACAGGGCTGGGCTCCTTGCCTCACTGATCCCAGAAACCCTGCTCAAGTCCTGGCACACAGTATGTGTTTATTAAATGTTAGTGAACAGGCCTGGGATTTAGCTCAGTGGTTCTGCCGCACAAGGGCCTGAGTTCGATCCCGGGTACCAAAAAGAAAACAAAAAAATGTTAGTGAACAAAAATGAGCAGACTCACAGATTGAAGTAGAAAATCAGAAAGGAAAACAGATGGGAAGCCAGAGAGGCAGGGAGAACTGGGGAGGAGGGCGGAAACAGCAAAAAATACCAAGGTTCACAGGCAGGCAGCTCAGGAGAGCGATTCCTGGCTATCTGTAAGCTTGCATCTCCTTTCACACACATGACCGCGGTTGGCGCGCCTGCTTCCCAGGGCGCTAGGTATTATTAGCCCATTTTGCAGATGACATAACTGAGGTTAGGGAGGTCACGCGACTTGCCCTGAGTGATTCAGCTTCGAAGGGCCGGGCTGGGCAGGACAGAAATAGAAGGACCAGAGCGTTGAGATGGAATCAGAGATACCGAATGGGATCAGGTCAGCGAGCGCCCCGGGAGGCCGGGCGAGCCGGACAGCAGCCCACCCACGCTCTTTTG